TAGATATGAATGTGTTTTTCTTCTTTTTCTTGAGATTTACTTATCTTTGTGAACCTCTAATTGGGTATTTTTAATAAGATTTTTTCTTTTTAAATATCAACCATTATCTCATTAAATGTTGCTGCTTTTCGTTATTCTCTATTTATCTCTCTTTTCTTTCTAGAACCCCAACTAAACATATGCTTGACCTTCTTATTCTATCATCTCTATATGCTTTATCTTTTACCTTCTGTGCTACATTTATTATACTTTTTCTGACTTATTTCTTGTTAGTAATTCTTTCTTCATATTTGTCCTATCTGTTCTTAACAAAATCCACTGTGACTTTAATTTTGATTATTGCAGTTTTCACTTTTAGAACTTATATTTAGTTATTTTTCAAAGTTGTTACTTTTTTATAGTTTAATATTCCCTGCAGCTATTTTAAACTTTAAAAAAAATTCATTAAGCATATTAAGTATAATTTTTATGATCTTTATTTGACTATGCTAGTAATTAAAGTCTTGGTCTATTTTTATTGTCTATTATCTCTTGGCAAAGGAATCATACTTGGTTGTGTGCTGATTTATCTTTGATCATGTACATGTCATAAAAGTAATTCTTACATATAATTATGGTAATTTCTTCCAGATTTTCATTTGTCTTTTCCAGGTACCTCAAGGCAGAGTCCTTAACCACATTATTGCAAATTTGAGATATGAGATTCAATGACTGCTAACCAAAAGGATGGAGGTTCAAACCCACCAGCCACTCCTTGGAAGGAAGGTTGGGCAATCTACTTCCGTAGTGATATCACCTTGGAAATCCAAGGAGGGGTCACTATGAGTCAGATCTGACTCCATGGCAGTGAGTTTTGGTATGCAGTTATTTGCAAGGACTGACTGACCCACTATCTCTCCCTTGTTATTTTGAGACTAGACATTTTAGGTCCTAGTTTATTGTGAGGAAGGTCCGAATTAGATATGCTTGTGTGAATCTTGGTCTTTGATTTCTGTACCTTCACCTTATATGGTCATCAAAACAGAAACTCAGAAAATTCCCTCACAGTAAAAGTAGCTTCCATACTCATTTTCCTAATCTGGATCTCATCTTTCCTTCAATTTTCACCTGACAATTATTCTTGCACTAGAAGTTATTTGAGGCTTTAAAGTTTTTAGATATTTTAAGCAGCTTTGTTTTTGGTTGTTTTTAGTGGGAGTATTGGCAAAAAATCCTAGGTCACTGTTAATAAAAACTAGAATTCCCTAATGAAAATGTTGTAATACAATACATTAAAATTATTCCATATGTTAAGATGCTAATAATTATGATATTTTCTCTTTTAATTCCATTTTTCTGCATATTTCTTTGCAGTTATATAATGAAATTTCATGAAATTGCAATCTTAGAGTACAGCTTGAAATTACATGAAAAATGTGTGTATTTATATATAAGGAGAGGAACCTTAACTTTCATAAAATTTTCAAGTGGATCTATCACACATCATAAAGATAGAGAATTGAATTGATCATCAATTTTGCTATTTTTGCAAAAGGTATACCAAATTATAATGTTTTCCCGTGAATCTTGCAAATGTTTTAAAATGTAACAACTCACTGTACTACTCTACAGTATATAATTTGTTGTTGTTGTTGTTGTTGTTAGGTGCAATCAAGTTGGTTCCAACTCACAGCAATCCTATGTAAAATAGAACAAAACCCTGCGTGGTTGTGCTCCATCCTCACAATCCTTGTTACGCTTGAGCCAATTGTTGCAGCCATTGTGTCAATCCATCTCTTTGAGGGTCTTCCACTTTTTTCACCGACCCTCTACTTTACCAAGCATGACATCCTTCTCCAGGGAAGGTACCTTCTGATAACATGTTCAAAGTAGATGAGTAGAAGTCTGGCCATTCTCACTTCCTAGGAACATTCCAGCTACACTTCACCCAGGACAGATTTGTTCCTTCTTCTGGCAATCTATGGAAATTTCAGTATTCTTTGCCTACAGCACAAAATTTTCTTCAGTCTTTCTTATTAATTGCCCAGCTTTCACATGCATATTGTTGTTGTTATGTGCCATCCAGTCCCCGACTCATAGTCGACCCCTCCTTGGGTTTCCTAGGCAGTATCACTATGGAAGTAGATTGCCCAACCTTCCTTCTGAGGAGTGGCTGGTGGGTTTGAACCGCCAGCCGTCTGGTTAGCAGGCAAGTGCCTTAGCCACTATGCTACCAGAGCTCCCCATATTAGGAGGCTGAAAATACCATGGCTTGGGTCAGGCACGCCTTAGTCTTCAAAGTGAAATCTTTGTTCTTTAGTGCTTTAAAGAGGTCCCTTACAGCAGATTTGCCTAGTGAAATACGAACTTTGATTTTTTTTTTTTCTTATTGTGATTTGGGTGAAAATTTACAGAGCAAATTCACTTTCCATACAGTAGTTCACATACACTTTGTCTCATGACATTGACCACAATTTTGACCTTCGATTTCTTGACTGCTGCTTTCATGGGCGCTGATTGTGGATCCAAGGAAAATGAAATCTTTGACAAATTCAATCTTTTTTCCACATATGGTGATGTTGCTTATTGGTCCAGTCATGAGGTGTTTTGTTTTCTTTATGTTGAGGTGTAATCTGTACTGCAGACTGTCTTCTTTAATCTTCATCAGTAAGTGCTTCAAGACATCTTCACTTGTTGCAAGGAAGATTGTGCCATTTGCAAAAGACAAATTGTTAATGAGTCGTCCTCCAACCCTGATGCTGTGTTCTTCATATAGTCCAGCTTTTCAGATTATTTGCTCAGCGTATAGATTGAATAAGTATGGTGAAAGATACCACCCTAATGCACACCTTTCCTGATTTTAAACCATTCAGTATCCCCTTGTTCTTTTTGAACAATTGCCTCTTGGTCCATGTACAGATTCTTCATGAGCACAATAAAGTGTTTTGGGATTTCCTTTATTTGCAATGTTATCCATAATTTGTTATGATCCATGCAGTTGAATTCTTTTGCATAGTCAATAAAACACAAGTAAACATCTTTCTGCTATTCTTTGCTGTCAGCCAAGATCCATCTGATTCAGCAATGATATCCCTTGTTCCTCGCCCTCTTCTAAATCTGGCTTGAATTTCTGGCAGTTCTCTGCCAATATACTGGTGCAATAATTTTAAAAATACTTTCAGTAAAATTTTGTTGTGCATAATATGAATGATATTATTCAACAATTTCCTCATTCTGTTTGATCACCTCCTTTGGAATGGGCACAAATATGGGTATTTTCCAGTCAGCTGGCCAGATAACTTTCATCCAAATTTCTTGTCCTAACCATACATCATTTGCTGTGCCTTTATCCCAGTGTTGAATGTGTGGTTCCAGTTTTTTGTCTGTTGTAGGTATCACAGCAATGATGTATCTTTTCTTCAGAAGTTATCACCCCTGAGAGAGAAAAAGGGGATTAAGTTGATTAAGCTCTTGTATTCATGGATGAAAGACAATCTTAGATATATTTTCCACCCAGGATCTGACAGTTCTCAGCAAAATCAAGTCACTCAGCCTTTTCTGTGTTCAGGGGATCTTCCAGGATACAAAGAAGAGAGGCTTTACCATGGTGTTGTTGTTGTTGTTGTTAGGTGCTGTCGAGCTGTTTCCGACTCATAGCGACCCCATGCACAGTAGAACGAAACACTGCCCGATCCCGCGCCAGCTCCATGATCCCTGCTATACTTGAGCCCATCATTGCAGCCACGTCGTCAATCCACCTCGTTGAAGGCCTTCTCCTCTTCCGTCAACCCTCCACCCTACCAAGCATGACATCCTTCTCCAGGGAATGGTCCATTCTGGCAACATGACCAAAATAGGTGAGACGAAGTCTGGCCATTCTCGCTTCCAAGGAGCATTTCGGGTGCATGTGCAAAGCAGCAGGACGGGAGAGCAGGAGAAAGGGAATTAAAAGCCCAGGAACGTGGACAGAGGAGGAGTCAGCCTCAGGTACCCAGGTAAGGGTGCTACGAAAGGTTTCCAACAGGGAGACAAACTTGTCTGTCGGTTTGTCCTATCATGGTGACATGTTGATGTGAGTTTTGAGGCTGAGCCACTGGTATTTCAAACCCAGCAGGATGGGTGCACAGGTATCAGCCCAGTTTACAGACTGAGACAGACTAGGAAGAAGGAAGAGGCCGTCCACTTCTCAAAGAATTCACCGGGGAAAACCTTATGAATAGCAAAGAAACACTGTTTGATACATTACCATGGGTGGGAAGCAGGAAAGGATGACTGTGTCATAATTTTCAATGAGGATTTGTCAGGGTTCAAGTGACCTGAGAAAGTAAGTTTCAGAGGCAGAGCCTTGCTTCTCCCTTTTCTTTTCTCTGCCAGCAACCTCCACTCACCTAGAAAAAAATGTCCATTCAATCTGCCTTGAAGACTTCTAGGAAGAAATGGGAGCAGCGGAGGTCTCAGACAGGTGGTCTTGGGCCAAAGGATAAAGATAAGATCTCTTCTGTCCCCTTCAACTTTTCCTGATGTCCTCATCTTATATTCCACCCATCTTTAATCCATTCTTAGCTAAGCCTTATTAAATATAAGTGAATAAGTGATCCAGGGATCTTGCAATCATTTTGAGAACCCCTAAAATTCCAAAGGTCTGAAGCTCTAATACCAGAGGGATGGAAATGGGAGTAAGTATGTAGCCTCTAGTTTTTAGGCATTTTTGAGGATATTATTAAACTTAGTGCATTTAGGTTTCTGGAACAAGGTGCCCGGTCTCTGTTTCTGCTGCCAGCCCTGACTCAGCAGCTATGTGGGAGATCATGGTTTTTGCTTGGATTATTCTCTCTTCAGCCACATCACTGGCAGTTGGTGGGAACCTTTTGGGCAGCCTTGGGTGATGAAACTTATCACACCCACAGGATAATGGGACTGTGAATTCTCAATCCCTCCTCCCCTTCCTTCCTCTCCTGGAGGCTAAAATTCAAGCAGGAGGAAGTACAAGTAACAACAGGCTAAGCAGCCATCCAGGAACCATGCAGTTTCTCCTGCTTCTGTTGACCTTTCTTCTGCCCCCTGGGGCTAGAGCAGGTGAGTGATCATTCCTACTCCAAGGTCTGTATCCCTTTTTATGGTATCTCCAGGTAGCCCTGGTCACATCCTCAAACACATCCTGGCCTCATTTCATTCTGGAAATTCTGAATGGAAAATCAATAGGACTGGGAAGAAGAAATGTCCCCTGGATCATGTTCTTGTCATTTGACAATAGTAATTTTCTAGAAGGCCACAGGATTCTGGAGAAAGGAGGGAAGCTAGAAATGAGAAACAATAAAATCCTTTATTTCTCCAGTCCCAGGAAAACATGCTCATGTGTAGTATACGATATGGTGGGAGGGATCTCTGCGTTCTTAGGACGACATTATTGCTTATTGTGATTATCTGCTCTTCCTGAGTCTGTCTTTCAGCTCTGCCAGGACAGTAGCCCAAAATCTACTTAGTCTCAGATTTGGTGAGCCTTTGGCCACCCTCATCTTCCCAGAGATTTACCAATGGTTTAAGTAAGTTCAGTGTACAGAAGCCCTGAACTTCCCTTTCTCACCCTCTCCCACTCCACCTAACAAAAAATAACCACTATTTCATGGTCTAGGAGCTCTGGTAGCATAGTGCCTAAGGCACCTGACTGCTAACCAGAAGACTGGTGGTTCAAACCCACCAGTCACTCCTCGGAAGGAAAGTTGGGCAATCTACTTCCGTAGATACTGCCTCAGAAACCCAAGGAGGGGTCGCTATGAGTCAGGGCTGACTTGAGGGGCACATAACAACAACAACAATTTAATGGCCAGAGGCATAGACTTTCGATCCATTCTGCCTAGTTATGAATCTGCCTTGTTGTTGTTGTTGTTGTTGTTTGCCATCGAGTCGGCCCCCGACTCATAGCGACCCCTCCTTGGGTTTCCGAAGCAGTATCACTACGGAAGTAGGATTGCCCAACCTTCCTTCCGAGGAGTGGCCTTAGCTACATCTTAATTCTGTATCCTTGAAAAAGTTACTTAAATTCACAGTCCTCAGTTTCCTTATCTGTAAAACTGGGATAATTTTAATAGTTTAACCCTCATAGTTTCTGTTAAGGTTAAATTAGTATATATAGTGCTCTTGTAATAATGCCTAGCATATAGTAAGTGATATATAAATGTGCTGTGTAAGTTCAATCTGTAGTCCAAGTTTCAGAACCTAGGAAATAAGGATACAACAATAATAGCCCCATCAACTCATGTCCAGGTCCTTAGAAACCAATCCCATGCTGGCCATGAGCTGGCAATAGCTCGACTCAGAAGGACCAGGATCTGGGAGATTCTAAAGAAAAAGCTACCAGAAAACTCCAAGGAAAGCCCTTTCCAGAGCCCTCCAGATTTCCATCCTGACAGCAGAGCAAATCTCCTCGATACATGAGGCTGAAGCTGGCTTTGGCAAATATTGTTCTGTCCTTTTTCAGGAGGTGGGAGGAGCAGATCAGGGATAGAAGATGAATCTCCCTTCAAGCCAGTAGTACTTCCTGCAGAACGCTGGACCCTCCTCCAATGTCTGGTGCCCTGTAGATTCCAGTCCTTACCACTGATTTCTAGCTCTTCTCCCACATCATCTCTTCTGCCCCCCTCCATCTCATAGCCTTTCAGGAATCATCAGTCTGGTGCCACAAAGTGGATTCACCATGCAAAAAGATTAATGCCAAGTGCTTTTTTCTTCTAGGAGAAATCATTGGAGGCCAAGAGGCCAGGCCACACTCCCACCCCTATATGGCTTATCTTCAGATCCGAACTCCGTTTGGTACAAAATCTTGTGGGGGGTTCCTGGTGCGAGAAGACTTTGTGCTGACAGCGGCTCACTGCTTGGGAAGGTAAGGTGCTCAGGAGCTTCTGTGGTAGCCAGAAACATATGGCCCCAAAGAACTCATCAGAAGAGCCATCTGGAAACAGGGTTGTGGTGATGAAAGAGTGAAAAAGAGATCTAGTAAGTTTCGGGGGGAGACTACAGATCAGTGCAAATGACACTTCTGAGGAAAAAAGGAGCACACTGATTAAAGATAACAAGAGGTGGTGGTGGGAGGCATGTATCGGGCTCAATTTAATCTGGGAGAAGCAAAATGTGAGGTCACTGTTCCCCTGTCATCCCAAGCTGAGGGCTGTCAAAAAGCAGAGACATAGAGTAGTTCATTTCCTCTCAGATGTGTCCTATCTTCCCTGGGCTGTTCATCTGTCCTGCAGAGCTAGAAGACCCTAGCTCCTGTAGTTCACATTCACCTCCAGGCCATCTTTCCTTTGCAGCCCCATAAATGTCATCTTGGGGGCCCATAACATCCAGAGGCCGGAAAGAACTCAGCAGCATGTCGCTGTGGTCAGAGCCATTCCCCACCCTGAATATAATCCACAGATCAACGTGAACGACATCATGTTGCTGCAGGTACCACCTGCGTGACTCTCTGGTTCTCCTATGCCTAGTGGGCCCTTCCAGCAAGGTGGCTCCACTGTGTCTTGGGAGGAAGCAGGGGTATCACCCAAAGTGGTGATGGGGATATGGGGTGGAGCCAGAGCCAACACTAGCAGGCCCTGAGCCATTGGTTGGGGCTCCAGATAGCAGGAATACTTGTGCTTTTCCTGCCAGCTGAGAAATAGGGCCAGACGGAATCGATTTGTGAGACCCTTGGCTCTGCCTCGGACCCAGGCCAGGCTGAGGCCTGGCACCTTGTGCACTGCAGCTGGCTGGGGCCTGCTTGACGTGAACAGGAGAACAAGCATACTCCAGGACGCGCAGCTGAGGGTGCAGAGTGATCAGGAGTGCAGCAATCGCTTCAATTTCTACAACAGCCAGATACAGATTTGTGTGGGGGATCGAAGGGAACGGAAGTCTGTCTTCCTGGTAAGGCTCTGGTATCTGCCAACATGGCCCTGGGACAGAGGGGCCTGGGCAGGAGGAATAGGGGGAGCACACTACATCTCCAGGTCCTCAGCCTGGTGGCCAAACCAGAGTATAGGAAGGGGTTCATGGGAACGGGAAGAGTGACTATCCACACACTTGTAGGCAGAATTTTCTGGGATAGTGAAAGCACTTTGCCTTGCACTGAACAGAAGACAGTAAGCACAGCAGGACCTGTAATGTGACTTTCACCGAAAATAGAAATAGTAAGCAGCACAGTGATAGAAATATCCAGAGGCTGATCTTCTATACCACCTCCACAACTCACACACAATGAAAAGAGTCCCCTTCTCCCTTACTTCTGAGAGCCTAGGGTTTAGGGCCGCATGGAGGGACAGGCCTGGAGCAGGGAGGCTTGGCTCAGTCCTTTCCTTCTCTCTGTCCACAGGGGGATTCTGGAGGCCCCCTCGTGTGCAACAACGTGGCCCGAGGCATTGTCTCTTATGGAAAACGGGACGGGACTCCTCCAGCAGTCTTCACCAGGATCATAAGCTTCTTGTCCTGGATAAGAAGAACAATGAGACGCTTCAAACAACAAAGTTAAACTGAGACCCCTTTTGACTGATTTGCCTTCTCTGGGTTCGGGAGGGTGCCAGAGCCTTAATAAATATACATGTGAGAGTTGAAATAATTGATTTCTTGTTTATTCATTGAGCATAATTCAGTATAAAATAAATGTGCATCATGTAGCCCTATGTTCCGATTTCAACTGTCTCCTGCTTCCTTCTCTTTCATCTCTCCCACACCTTTGTCCAGCTATTAAAACTTCACTGTTTCCCAATTATTTGAGATGTCATCTTTATCATATATTAAAGCAGGTCTTTTTATGAAATTTCAGTTCTGTCCTCTTGGTCTGCCTGTGCTTATACACACCAGTGACACATATTTTGAGTTAGAGTATGTTTAACTATCTGGCAGGGGAAGTCTCTTGAAGGGTTGAGAGAGCCCTGGCCTGGCTTCTATCACTTCCTAGAACATCAGGAAAAGCAGGGGAGACAGAAAACTGAAGAGAATGGATGGCCTTCAGAAGGGAAGAAGCTCATTCTGATCCCCAGGACCTGGTGGGTTCATTTCTCTTGGGACAGAGGCCCTATTTTCCGGTGGAGTTCAGACTCAGTCTTGGCAAAAGAACTGGCTCTAAATAATGTGGATAAGAAGGAACTGGTTTCTTAACCTATCATGATAGTGTAGATAGCTACTTGGAAAAGAGATAAAATTGGATCCATTCTTCATACCATATTTCCAAATAAACCTGAAAAGAATCAAGGCTCTAAAGGTAAAAGAATTAAATTATGTAAGAAAATAAGGATGAATTTCTTTATGATCTCTATAATCCAGAAATGAGAAAACCTTTTTGATATCATTCAAGATCTAAAACCTTTAGAAAATATAGGTAACTTGCACTATATTTAAAACAAAAACCAAGCAAACAAAACCTTAGTGCCTGACAAGGAAAACCACACACTATGACTGTAAACAAATAAAAAATGACAAATTAGGGAGGAGAATTGCAAATTACACCACAGTATAAGGGCTAATCTTTGATGTGTGAGAATTTGTGAAAATTGAGAATAGGCCAAAGCCCAATAGGAAAATTGTCAAAAGACATGAACCAGTGGTTTACATAAGTGAAAAACAAATGGCACTTTAACACACATGAAAATGTTCAAAACTTTTTTCACTTAATTTTATTTTTTTGTCTTTGAGAATATGCACAGCAAAACATACATCAATTCAACAATTTCTACATGTACAGTTCAGTGACATGGATGACAATTTTCAAATCGTGCAACCATATTCATTCTCTTTTCTCAAATTGTTCCTTCACCATTAGCATAAACTTATGGCTCCCTAAGTTTTCTATCTAATATTTTAAGTTGCTAGTGTCAATTTTTATCCCATAAAGATAGTTATCAAAAGAGCACAATCCTCAAAGCAGACATTCTTTACTAATTAAGCTAAATTTTTGTTGGGATAAAAAAAGACTTCAGAGAGTACTTTTGGTTAAAACTTTAAAGATTATCTCAGGACAATAGTTTCAGAGGTTCATCCAGCCTCAGTGGTTCCTGAAAGTCTAGATTCCATAAATGTCCAACATTTTCCCATAAATGTCCATAAATACTTATCATTGCTGATGAGCTGTGCCAGTATTCATTCCATCTAGCATGCAAGCATGTAGATCTGTTTGAGCACCCATGTCTGCCTTCAGTTCTGCTGTATTGTCACCACCAGCACTTCAGATATTGCTTGTTATGGATTACATTGTGTCCCCCCAAAAAAGATATGCTGAAGTTCTAACCCCCAGTACCTCTGGATGTGACCCTGTTTGGAAATAAGGCCCTTGAACATGTTATCCGTTAAGTTGACATGAGGTCATACTGGAATAGGGCAGGTCTGAATCTAATCTTAATATTGTCCTCATAAAAGAGAAGAGGAAGAGAACAGATCCTGAGGGGAAAATACCATGGGACAATGGGGCAGATATAGAGTTATGCTACAGCTACAAGCCAAGGAATTCCTGGGGCTACTAGGAATGAGAGACAAGAAAGGGTCTTCCTCTAGAACCTTCAGAGAGAGCATGGCTCTGCCAATGTTCAGGCTTCTAACATCCAGAAATGTGAGAGAATGATTTCCAGTGTGACGAACCACCCAACTTGTGGTATTTTGTTAATGGTGGCACTAGAAAACTACTACGCTACTTCTCTTCCATTGTCTCCAATCTTCTGTTCTGCAAATCTCATCAGACGTATGTTGGAGCCCCTCTCTCTATCCACCATTTTTCTTAACTTAACTGAATTCATACTTCTAGCCTCCAGACCTGTAAGAGGATAAATTGTTGTAATTTTAAGTCACCTACCCTGTGGTAATTTGCTCCAGCATGCTAGGAAACTAATAGTACCTGTTGCCTTCAAGTTGACTTCAACTCATGGTGACTCTATGTGTGTCAGAGTATAATTGTTCTCCACAGGGTTTTCGGTGTCTGATATTTTTGGAAGTAGATAATCAGACCTTTCTCCAAGAAGAAACTAATCCAGGAATTTTATAATCTTATCTTTAAGGAGGGAAGACTAGAGCAAGCTTAGCACTGTAACTGGTTAGGAGAAGCCCTCACTCATTTTAGCCAGGAGAGGAGGTTATTTAGTGTTTTGTGGCTTGGCAAAGTTCATGTTTTGTATGTACTTAGGCATAATTATTGAGTGAACTTTATTTTGCCTTGATTTTCATTGTTACAGAGTGACTTTGTCTAAGGTGATGTTCTTTAAATTATTTATGTTCAATGGGAAAACACCAAGACCTAGCTGTCAGTGCCAGGCCAGCTGTGAACACACCAAGAACTAGCTGATAATACCAGGCCATCTCCCTGATGCCAGGGATATCCTCTATTTTAATAATAACATATTGGAAATCTGACTGTAAATATTTATCCATTTTCATAAAAAAAAAAATTATTCCAATTCCTCAACTACTTAAAACCAAAATTAATGTATCAATTATTGTTAGTTGTTACTGAGTCAACTCTAACTTATAAACTCATAGTGACCCCACATGTTACAGAGTAGAACTGCTCTGTATGGTTTCTTGGAAGTAATCTTAATGGAAGAATATCACTAGGCTTAGGCTTTTTCTCCCAAGGTACCTCTGGGTAGGTTCCAATTACAACGTTTAGGTTAGCAGTCTAATACAAACAGTTTACACCACCTAAGAAACTTAAGTGTTGACAATATCTTTCTCTTATTCTGTTTCTCAGAGCCCAAAGCTTATAATTGTTCTTGGAAAACAGAGACTAGTTTGTTGTTGTTGTTAGGTGCTGTCGAGTCGTTCCTGACTCATAGCGATCCTATGCACAGCGGAATGAAACACGGCCCTATGCCACGCCAGTTCCATGATCCTTGCTATACTTGAGCCCATCATCACAGCCACCATGTCAATCCATCTTGTTGAAGGTCTTCCCCTTTCATTGACCCTCCACCTTACCAAGCATGACATTGTTCTCCAGGGAATGGTCCCTTCTGACAACATGACCAAAGTAGGTAAGACGAAGTCTGGCCATTCTCGCTTCCAAGAAGCATTTTGGCTACGCTTCTTCAAGGACAGATCTGTTATTCTTTTAGCAGTCCACGGTACTTTCAGTATTCTTTGCCAGCACCACAACTGAAAAGTGTCAACTCTTCTTCGGTCTTCCTTATTCATTGTCCAGCTTTCACATGCATACGAGGCGATTAAAAATATCATGTCTTGTGTCAGGTGCACCTTAGTCCTCAAGGAGACATCTTTGCTCCTCAACACTTGAAAGAGGTCCTTTGCAGCTGACATGCCAAGTGCTATATGTCATCTAATGTCCTGACTGCTGCTTCCATTGAGATCAATTGTAGAATCAAGCAATATGAATTCTTTGACAATCTCAATCTTTTCTCCATTTATCATGAAGCTTCTTATAGGTCCAGTTGTAAGGATTTTTGTTTTCTTTATATTGAGATGTAATCCATACTACAGACTGTATTCTTCAATCTTCATTAGTAAGTGCCTCAAGTCATCCTTACTTTCAGCAAGCAAAGTTGTGTCATCAGTATATTGGAGGTTGTTAATGATTCTTCCTCCAATCTTGATGCCACGTTTTTCTTCATATAGTCCAGCTTCTCGGATTATTTGCTCAGCATATAGATTGAATATGTATGGTGATGGGATACAACCCTGATGCACTCACCTCTTGGTTTTAAAATATGCAGTGTCTCCTTGCTCAGTTTGAACAACAGCCTCCTGGTCAAGGTACAGGTTCTTCTTGAGTACAATCAAGTGTTCAGTAATTTCCATTCTTCTCAATGTTATCCACAATTTGTCATGATCCACACAATCAAATGCCTTTGCATTGTCAATAAAACACAAGTAAACATCTTTCTGGTATTCTTTGCTTTCAGCCAAGATCAATCTGACAATAGCTATGATATCCCTTGTTCCACGTCCTCTTCTGAATCCAGCTTGTGCTTCTGGAAGTTCTCTGTCAATATACTGCTCCAACTGTTTTTGAATTATCTTCAGTAAGATCTTACATGTGTGTGATATTAATGATATTGTTTGATAATTTCCACATTCTGTGGGATCACCTTTCTTTGGAATGGGTACAAATATGGATCTCTTCTGGTCAGTTGGCCAGGTAGCTGTCTTCCAAATCTCTTGGCATAACCAAGTGAGTGCATCCAGTGGGACGTCCATTTGCTGAAATATCTCAATGAATATTCTCAATTCCTGGAGCCTTGTTATTTGCCAATTCCTTCATTGCAGCTTTGACTTCCTCCCTCAGTACCATTGATTCTAGATCATATGCCACCTCCTGAAATGAATGAAGCTCGACCAGTTTTTTTTGGTACAGTGACTCTATGTATTCCTTCCATCTTCTGTTGATGTTTCCTGCATCATTCAATATTTGCCCATAGAATCTTTCAATATTGCAACTCGAGGCTTAATTTTTTTCTTCAATTCTTTCAGCTTGAAACTGCTAAGCGGGTTCTTCCTTTTGATTTTCTAACTCCAGGTCTTTGCACATTT